CGTCCACCCTCTTTCATGGAAATGATGTCATCGTTTAAAATCATGTCAACTTTCTCTGCAATAGGTATTTTGGAAATATTTGGAAGTGGACGAAGGCTTGAGTTATCATAGGGTAGGGTCACACAAGGCCCAATTTGCAGTGGATTTGGTGAGTTAAACTCTAGACTCTCATAGGATACTAAATCTTCAAAGTTAAAAGAGGGAATAACAAAATAATCAAATTAAATCATACCATGCTAATGTGAAGCTTTCAAAGACAATCTCTAATTTAACAATTAGAATAGTCACTATACAAATCCACTCACACACACACTTGATTTGGGCTATGCGGATAAATCTTCATGATCAAGTGATGCCATGATTGAGGAGGAATTGAAAAGGTATAAAAAAAGAAAGAAGGTTTACCGTCCTCGTGTTTCTGATGCTTGTTCGATCATTTGCTAGAACGTGGCCGTCAATGGTTTGGTGTCGCCTCTTGACTCAATCAAAAGGGTTTGATAATTCGTGCTTAGTGGGATCTTCAAGTGGACGACTAGGTGTACAGAGGGTGGGTGGAGGTGTAGCCGGCCTAGGGAGGGGATTTATTTTCTTCTTCTTGAGGTGAAGAACAAGTTAGGAAGAATAATTGTCCATGGAGAAGGGGGGGGGGCATGGGGGGGCATGTGGCTGGCCATAAGGGGGGGGAGGGGGGATAAGTGAGATTTAATTTCGAGTTTGGAGGGTAGAATAAGACATGGACAGCAATTTAGAAGTTCGGAATTTAATTCCAGCAATTAAAAAAATTTTGGAATTACATTCCGTGTAGGTGGCATGCAAATTAAGACAAGAATCAATTGGGATTGATTGGGATTGATTGGGATTTAATGGCTCTTCTTTAAGTGCGGGGGAGTGAATGGGGGGGATTTGAATGACCACAAAATAAGGAGAGAGGTGAGGGATGGCAAGCTTTAATGGAGGGGCTGATTGGGGGAACTCAAAGTGGAAAGGTTATAATTGTGAAGAGTGGGGAACGGGGCGGCAAGGACTAGGGGAGGTGGAATAATTAGAAGATGAGTTGCCAATTTTAGAATACTAAATGAGGAAAGGAGATTTAGGGTTAATCTCTATTAAAAAATCAAATTATCATGAATGAGGAACTTTCCTAACATAACTCATCTCATTTAAGAAAGAAATTTCATATTTAAGTAAATTAAACTGAATTTAAATCTTTCGAAATTTATGATGTGCTAAATTTGGAAAGTATTGATTACTTGATTTACAATTTTGGAGGAAATGGGGAGAGGTGGGTGGCCGGCCGCTAGGAGGGGAAGGGGGTCGGTTGTTAGCGTGGGGAATCGGCCAAGGGGAGAGAAGGCTAGCCGGCGGTTTAGGAAGGGAAGGGGGCAGCGGTTTAGGGTGGTAGTCAGCATAGGGATGGGTTGTGGAGGGGTCGGCGGCTAGGGGAAAAATAGCAAGACGAATTGGAAGTGAAGATAAATCACGAGCCCGGACGCTTCCTGCGACAGATGGGTAATGCTTTGCCCTCACCAAGGGACTTCAAACTCTCACAAGAACTCTTACAACTCTCCAAAAAACAAAGTGCATAACTTTTTCATCATAATAATCATCATGCTCTCCAAAGAGGGGAAAAGGTCTATAAATAGACGACTTATAATAAAATATCCAATGACAGACCACTGGGATCACATAAGCATACTCCCTCAAGTGAGAGTAAAAATGAAAAAATACATAATAAAAATCAAATACAAATAAATGCTCAGAAATAAAGTGGTCCAATCGTAGCCGTATATCTTTGGCTCCTTCTTTGAAAAACTTTCCACGATCGGATGTCCTCATCACTAAGTGAAGCTCATACTAATAAGAAAATGATAGGGATTATTTTAAGCTTGAGATCAAGGCACTTGCAGCTCAGGGTTAACTCTGAAAGTTATAAAACTACTCTCTATAGATGAGATGAGGCCCCCAAGCAAAGGAACTGTAGGAGCACTAAGGCCCCTAGATAGATGAAAGTTTACAATTGGCGAAGTTTCCCTTTAAACTTAAACAAAAGCACGACTTCCACATCAAGGAGAAAAAAATATCAAATATACTTCAATAAAAATATAACACCGCTGAGCATACACATGTGTGAGAAACTAAGTTCATTTGATAAAAAATCTATTCTGCAAACTTCTAGCATCGTCTATCAACCTCCGCATGTGAGTCTATCAAAACGCATATCTCACTAGACAATCTCTCAAGTGAAGAGCGATGAATGGGACCAAATGCTAACCAATCCCTGCTCACCCATTTAAGATACAACAACTTCAAGCAAGGAAGAAGTTCAGGGTAAAGCTTCTACAGTTGGAAAAATAAGAAATGTCAAAAACAAGATAGCAAAATCAAAGGTTAAGACATTTGTAAGAAGGGTAAGAATTCAAAACTCACTCTATAGAAAACAGATATCTCCCCTATATTTGTGGAAAGTATACAGTGTGAGCAGTCTAGCCCCTACTGAAGTAAGATTGAGACAAAGTCAAACTCCTCAAGGGAAAGGATTAGAGATCACCCTGAAGGGGCCATCACCTAGGAAATAATGTCCACAGACAATCACAAAGTAAAAAATAAAAATAAAAAGCCCTCATTTAATTGCTCACTACCCTCAATCGTGAATTCTTAAACACAAGGACGAGAAAAGAATGCAGCAACCCCTAAGCTTTCTCGCCCTAAACAAATTACTAAAAAAGGGAATGCTCCAGTACAATTGCTTCTACCACAAGAGTGCAAAAAATGTAACGATGAGGACAAAGGTACCCAACATAATCAGCGAGGGTACTAGCTCATAACAACTGAGGATGGCCAACACCTCAACAGAAAGAGGGGGTTGCATTACAGAGCTGAATTGATCCAGATAAAAGAATTATACACCATCCTTTAGCTTATTTGGAGACTCACTATAAAGGAGCCCAAACCATCATAACATTGATGATGCCAAATTTCACGTGCAGTCGTTCGATGTCATGCATGCCAATCAATGAAGGCCATTAAAAATATAAACTAAAAAATTCCTCAACACAGCAATCAAGATCACTCAAGCTAGAGATAAGACTTGTCGATCGAAAAGGACAAAACTTTGAATTTAGCAAGGTAATGATGAAATTTTATAACAAGGATCTGAGAAGAAGAGGCGCCATGCAACAAGAATGCACAATCTACAATGATATATCACAGATTTTTATAGATTTGAAATGACACTCCCATTAATGATCATAAATGCACAACCCTTTAGAAATTAAGAACACACATTTCCAACAAAGAAAATCAATAACATGATAACACACTCATAAAAGTAGATGATAAGCACTCACCTCTCTAACAAGGGCTAGCCCAAAGAGAGCGACGAGTAGATTTAAAGACAACACCGCCGCCTAAGGATCCAAAAATGGAAATTTCCCAGTAGGTCCTACTAATTTTAACTCATAAATATCAAAATTTTAAGGTCTAACACTCAAGAAACCTACCCCTCACAACGAGTCCACAAACAAGAAGAAAAGAGTCACAAGATTGGAATAAATTTAAAAAAATTAATCCTCAATGGAGCGAAAAGCTTCGATAGAATTGTTCTCTATAGCTGAGTTGAGGCGCCTAAACAAAAGAACAGTGAAGAGCCAAAATTCCTAGGAAAATGTCAGCACTTAATAAGGTCACCTATTTAATATTAATTGAGTAGCCCCTTTATTGGGGAAAGGGGATTTCATAAATGGTAACAGTAATAAACACACCCTCCTTAATGATGCTCATATTTTTGACAACTAATCACTTTCAATAGTCACTAGAAATAATAAATATTTTTTTCATTAATTCTCTTATCCTTTTTAGCAACTAACTCTCCAAAAGAGCAAGAAAATCGATAAACAAAATGTGCACTCAAATGTGCTAAATCACCTTAGAGGAACTCACTAAAAGAGGATACTTGCGTCAAAAAAGCTAGGTCAGAGAGGCTGTGCAACCTAAAAGAGCTTCTCAAGTGAGACGCTCCTCTCCAAAGAGCTCGACAATACAAGAGAAAGCACTCGGCCCAATGAAGCTTGCCCCTAAAAAACCTTAACCAAGAAACCATACACCCTAGCGAGATTAGAGTGAGGGATGAACTTGCCTCATCAAACCTCGACCAAAGGAAGAACTCATCTTAAGGAAATATCCACCCTAGTCAAGGCGCCTTTTCTTTCTCAAGAAGGCCCCTTATCTAAACTAAAGAAGGCATACACCTACTAACCTCACTGTGAAGACCCCTTCGGTTATACTAGTTCCCAACCCGAAAGAACTCACTTTAGGTCCCTCATCGGAGGCACTCGCAAAGGGCGCTCGTCAAAGGCGTTCAGCAAGGGCACTTATCAATGGCACTCATTAGGACTGTTCCAAATCCATGTCAAATATAGCAAGATACACTTATCCATTCTAGCTAGTCCATGCATATGTAATAATCGAATATTGTAAAATTTTATTGCTTTTTTAAGGTGCAGGCTCTAATGTAGTTTTTCCAACCCTTTAAATAAAGGTTAATATTTTTGGAACAATTCCATCAAATCATACGAAACACTAAGCTTAAACAAATATCAAGGCTCTTCTTCATATTTACACACCTCTCTCTAACTACCTCCTTAGCTAGTCTTGACAGTAAAGTCTAGATCTCTTCCACGGACAAAATTGAATATAACATATACATAAGATTTTTTTTTTATATATTTGGATGAAATGTCATATTTGCAAATAAGCAAAATGATTATTAGATCTTTGGTAAGTTTATAGAGTACCCGTAGTTAAGCATGGCTGGTAAAATATACAAGAAAAAATTATAAATTTAATGTTGAAGGAGTAATTCAAAGAAACATTTCAAGTTCTACATAGATGATCATCAGAATAATATGATTTCATTGGTAAGGGCTATGTAGATGATTATCAGAATAATATAATTTCTCTATTAAGGACAGAGTACAAATTGGCAGGGAATATTGCCATACCTCTGCCACTGCCTCTACCACCAGGCCCTCCCCTGCCGCGTCCACTACCTGAGACTTTGTTGTCATTAGAACCTCTTCCGATTCCTTTAGAATGTGTACTGCTGCCATCCTCTCTACCTCTTCCTCTTCCCCGGCCTACCCCAGGGGGTTTCCTGTCTATATTTAAAAGCAAACACTATGAATTTAACTTGAAATCATAAACCAAATTCAAAAATTATGAGGGCTTGATGGATAATAATACTTCTACAAACGATCAAATTTTCAGGTACTTAAGAAATATGGTTGAACTTTTTAGAGTGTTACATGGTAAAGGTTTAGATAACTTAGTTATGTCATGATAGTAGATAACTTCGATTTTAAACTGAACAAAATTTACAGGGAGTGTGTTACCAGAGCGGCTTTTGTTAGTTTCATCTTGAACCTTGTCAATAACCTGAAAACACATGTCAAATAAAGCATATTAATTGACCAAGAAAAAAAAATTATTTGTGCAAGACAACTCGGTAATAAATGACTTGCACTTAAAGTGCTCAAACTTTATTAAAAGCAAATGATAAAAGAAACATATTATCGCATGGAATTGCATTTTCAGAAAGATCAAAGGAAAAAAGTTCAGAAAAATCACACTAGCTGTTGATTGTAGTGCATAGAAACATTGATGGTGGTGAGAGCATGTTTTCTATTCGAAAATGGAAGGTGCTTAACAAAGGCAGTGAGAGCTATCACAGGCCTCCCATAACTTCCTTTTCTCCATCTCTTAATTATTTTTCATTTTTTTATGTTTCTTCTTTCTTTGATTCTCCTAAACCTACTATCATCAAAGCATAAAACGCAATATAACAAAACCAACAAACCACCATTCTGCTCTAGTAGAAGATTTACCAGACAAAAATCAAACTTAAAATGCTTTTAAAGCTCAAAGAAAAACATCAATTTGAAGAAAGCAGTAAATTTCAATTCAGTTAACAGTGAGAACAGTCCTTCAATGGATGCTAACACCAGCTACGGATAGAGACTAAGACTCGCTTTGGAATCATTGTCTTATGTTTTCATGTGATGTGTTGCACTATCAAGCAAAGAAGATTACTATTGGGCGTAAGCACATTAACTTTATTGTCCAAAAGTGTTGCCCTACTAATATTGGTAGAAAACTACTGTAGCAATTCTAAGAGTTGATTGAAAGACAGAAATGAAAATTGCAATGAATGTCATACAGTTATATCCTAAATTATAAAAGAAAACTACAGTTCATGAGGCAATCTTTCTGAGAAGCTACTTAAAACTACCATTTCAAGAAAGGGACTGTTTGGGACAACTTTCACGCTACTTTGCCTTTCAATTTCGTTTGAATAATGCTTTTTTATTATTTTCTTATTACATTTATAAAAATTTATGCGGTGTAAAATTTATTTTGCAATAAGAGTATTTAAGTCACTTTCGACAAAATAATTTCACAACCAACTTTATAAAACACTGTCCCTGCTCCAAACATACCCAAAAATAACTTTTTAATATTCATATGGATAGACTTTTTTTCACAATTGTTTTTCCAAATTTCTTAAAAATGTTTCTGTTGTTCAGGAGAGCAAGAGCATTTAGCAGAAAATTAAGCCAAACGGAGCCTAATTCAATGCCTGAAGGACATTTCATCAAAACCACAATCTACGCAATAATGTTGCAAGGTAAATGAAGATGTAAAATTTGAAGTAGGTCATCATGATCAATTTAGAAAAAGTACTTCATAGAGGCTTAATAGTAATTTTTTGTAAGGAATTCAAGGGATGAGTAAAATATATTACAGTATCGCAACTTAAATAAATGAAAATAAAATTAACAAAATATGCAAATATAAAAGATGCAAATCCACAATTATGACTTCTGCGGACAACCCATATTTCTTACAGGCATTGAAAGTGCATTAACGCTTAAAATAATTCAAGAGGCTTTTTTGCAAGTTTAACATTGAAAGGACAATTTAAGCAGAAAATTAGGGAGAAAACTTACAAAATTGGAGTAGCTTCCAAATTAGGATAAGAGATAGATTTATTTAGGAGTGAAGTAAAGATCAAGAATTCTCTTTATAATTTTTTCCAAGTATTTCTACACGTTTGGCCATTCTTTTTTGATAAGGTCAAACAGAATATTCCCTTGATTTAAACTGTGTTAACCCAGTAAGCTTAAGCATTTATTAAATATTTAAATGATCAAAAATATAATTTGGTATGAGCTAACATCATTTAAATAAGATTTGTGCAGGCCTAACTGATGAGGACATTCGACCTTGGAGGTCTACCAGAGGCATGGCCGTCAATCTACGATCACGATTGAACCGCTTTAGTTTTGATCGTCAATGTATTAGAATTATTTGTTTTAGTTTATTTTGTGTTATGAGTTATTATTGCATTTTTCATTTATATCCTCATTTGAGGGTCTAGTCATGTGTAAGCCCTAAGGGCGAGTTAATCTTTTTTTTTTCATTGTAACGAGGCTATTTAAAGACCACCTCCTCCCCTTGGAGGCTAATGAAAATTATTATGAAAAATTTCAGCCATTGAGTTTTGTGAGAGCTTGAGAGCTTTGGAGAGAAATCCCTAAGTGAGGGAATCAAATCACCCACCAGCCGCAAGAAGCGTCCGGGCTTGTGGTTACTTTCTTCTTCCTTTCTCCCCTCCACTTTCTCCCTTGACCTGCCAGCCTCCTCACCAAAGTCCTCCTAGCCGCCGGCCCTCCCAAGCAAAATCCCTCCTAACCGCTGGCCAACAACCCACTTCCACCTCCTCCTAGCCGCCAGTCACCTAGAACCCTTCTCTAAACTAACAGCTAAACCACCCTAAACTCCACCCCACCTAATCCTAACCCTAACCCTAGCTGCCGGCCACCCAACCCTAATTTCCTTGCCTCCAAAATTCAAAACCCTTCCAAATTTGGCCTTTTTTTTTATTTGAGGAAGAAGTCTTAAGTCATATTCAAAATAACTTCTGAATTTGAACTGGTTTCTTAAAATAGATATCTCTATTTTAGAAAAGTTCCTAAAATTAATCCCAAAAGAATTTTAAATTAGATTGGATTTAAATTAGTTCCTTCCTACATTTAAATTTCCAAATCAATTAAGCATTGATTTCTCTCCCCAAGCCCCAATTCCCCCCATGAAGCCGCCAGCCCCATCCACCCCTTTCCCTATTCCACAATAAATTCCTACCACCTTTGGAGCCCCAATTAATTCCCTAAGCCAAGGAGCACTTTCCTTTCACTTCCCTTATTTGAAATTCAAATTCCAAAACCGTAATCCTCTCTTGCGTAAATCTAAAATTCAATTTCATATTTCTTTTAGAATAGATTTTTCCCTCCTAGCCTTAGCTGACCACCCACCTCCTCTCACCACCCTTATTCTTGGTTTCAAGCCTAACCTAGGGAAGAAGGGGAGAAGAAATCACACCACTTTCCCTTCCACACCTTAAAAACTTCTCTACCCATGCATGGTGGATCCGCAACTTGATCACGGACTCATTTACGACGACCAAGACCATGTCGACATTCTCAACTCACCGTTCTTCGACCTCAACCTCGAAATTGACCAAATTGTAGAGGACTATATGAAAAGGATCTTCTTCACCCTCGTCGGAGCTATCGACAAACAACTTCATTTCGTCCAATGGCGGGTTATTTCTAAATCCTGAGCAAGGTGAATCTTTCCCCCAAATCTTTTCCAATCTAAATCATATCCTAACTTGTGATCTTAATTAAGTCATAAAGGTTTTGTTAACTCTCTTCGCTAAGCCTAGTAATTTAGAGAGTTGATTGAGGGATTTATTTTCATAGTGACTAGTCTCGTTGTTAATTTAGGTATTTCTTGTTAGAATCATTCATGTATGCTATGTTTTTAATCATTAATTATTTTGTGATCCTAACTTCTATTTATGTGACTTGGCCTAAGCTAGTCTTATCTCTTTCTTGTTTTATTTCATCGTTTAATCACTACAAATAACTACAAGTATTTGAGTTAATAAAGCTCTCTAAATTAAATTATACAAGATTCTTTGCTAACATCGCTTAGGCACAATGGAGAAAAAGGATTCATGTAAAAACCCCACGTAGTGGGAAAAAGGCTTGATGTTGTTGTTGTTGTATCAATAATTGTTTAGATTGCAGGTAAAAACTAAAAGAGCCAACTATGAGAATAATACACTCTGAAGAACTTATTTACTCAAAGGATGCCTGTGAACTAAGTAGCTCAAGCTAGCCCAAATGAATTCAAGATCAATCTTCAAGATGTAATTGTTTAATTAAATTTGAGTTCGTATTATTGTGTTTTTCAGATGTTAAGCTTGCCAAGATGACCAATTCACACGTACAAGAAAAATGTGCAGAAAAAAATATAATATAAAAAAATTGTAAATTGATCTTAACTAATCATACTATATTATCTTATTGATCATATCATATGCAGATCCTATGAGCTTAGAGCATTTTCTAAATTTTGATGATCACAAATTATACTAAGGAATTAAAATTGATAGTTTCAAATTAAGTGTATGTAGAAAACAAGTACACCATAAGGATGAGTCAAGCACATAAAGATAGATCTTTAAATGGGTAAATTTTAAAAGTGTTGTTAATAAACAAATTATGTTATTAAATTTGCTTAAAAATAATTTTAAAGATAGGCATAGTCACCCGTCCAGTCAGCATTTAAAAAAAAATTAAAATACTATAACAAATTGCCCATTAAACAGGCTACTTGCTACAATAAGCTATTTTTTTATATTTTTTTTTTAAATAAAATTTATGTTTTTTAAAAAAGTGTTAAAAGAATAATATTGTACTGTAACAACGCATATTAAGAAAATTAATAAAATTTATTAAAATTTTATTAGTTTACCGACATTAACAATAATTTTTATTATTTAAATAAATTAATGCATATTAATAAAATTTGTGGAAGGTTTGTTTCTTTCTGCTCTTTGTCCTGCTATTACTTTTACACCACAGCAACAACGATCCAAATCGTGCTTTATATTATTTGCAAGTCATCAACAATTTGCTTGCAGGAAAAAAATTAAAAAATTAAAGAAGAGTAGATACAATTTTTTTAAAAAGAAGTAATGAACGAGATTCAAAGTTTTAATTCAAAACACACCGTGATTGCTAGCTTAGAGGCAGGCAATAGATGTTTTTGAACCAGCAGAGCACCAGAACAGTTTGATTTCCATTACAATTACTGGATAAACTTTTTTTCGGCATCTCAAATAGATCAGTTTCTCATTGACAATCAGATAATAAAAGGGGAAAATCATAAATCATGAAATGCACATTAGCAAACTAAAAAACACGAAGCCACCGACAAATCAAAGATGGTCGGAAGAAGATAATTCATTCCATCGGCCCCATTAGCGTTGTAGCTTGCACCGGTTGCGAGGACCACCAAAAGCTCGC